TGCATCAGAAGTCCAGCTATAGGTTTCGGGTTTAGAGTTTTAGGGTTTAGGGTTTAGGGGCATGCATCAGAAGTCCAGCTATAGGTTTCGGGTTTAGGGCTTCAGGGTTTACTGTGCTGCAAGGAGAGTCACGGATCAGGGCACCCTTACGTAGAGCCCTTAGTGAGAGGATCCTACCCTAAGCCCTAAACCCTAAACCCTAAACCCCTGGTTTTAAGAACGGAAATATGGGGGTTTCCGAAAATAGGGAACCCCAATATAGTACCCCAAATAGTAGGATCTATAAGGGCCCCAAATAGGGTACCCCTTTTTTCGGAAACTCCCATATCACCGGGGCAGTTCAGCGTTGCAAAAGGCACCTGGCCCTCGTTTTCCATCTGCAGCAGCTTGTCAGCAAGATGCCAAGAACACTTGCGGGAAGTGGTTTAGGGTTTAGGGTTTAGGTTTATTGGTACCACTAGTTGCTAGTATGAATAAACTAGTAACTGGCAAGTGTTAAGCTAGGTTAAAGAAGCCAATTCAAATCAGTATACTATTATACGAAGTTGCGATGATTGGATATGATATACTAAAACTGTCAGATAATACACTACTAAGTCACAGGCCTCTTGTGCGGTCTCGAGGCACAGGTCAGCACTGCTCCTCTTCTCATTGCCCCAGGCGCTACGACATGCGAAGCGCACTGAAACGACAAGTCCAAGAAAAAAACAGCGGATTCCCGTTGAAGGCCAGTCATCGCTTGCAACTTTGGATGTGCCCATGGGCAGAGTTGGTCGTTTCAGTCGTGGTTGCATCTTCAAACGGGCCCTATCCCAAAAAAGCCTAAACCCTCAAACCCGAACCCCCCGAAGCCCTAAAGCCCTAGACCCGTAAGCCGAAAGAAGGACGTTCAGCGCTACGCGGGCAACGTCCTCTTGGCTTTGAGGGCTCTCTGGGCCATCAGGCCGCTAAAGAGGTTAAATTACGCGTTGCTTTGGTGAGAAGCTGCTCTTTCCGAGAGAGCGCGAACAGCAACAAAGCACAATTATGAGAAGAAGAATATCATTATCATGTAATGTAGTGCAATACAGTATCGTAGAGTATAGTATAGCGATTGATGGTTAACCGTATTTTTAACAGGCTAACATAGTGTATAAAGTATAGCATATTATAAAACAGCATCACGCAATGAATTATAACATAATGTAAGGCAACATAACATTATGTGTGTATATATATATACATATATATTTGGTAGTTTGATATGCCATAACATAATGAAGTAATAAAGTATAATATAGCATATTCTGATGCTATCTACTAAAATATGGTCTAATATAATATAACAAGAAACAATATAATTCAGTGTAACAAAGAGTAATATATAATACAATATATTTTGTTGCAATACTGCATCGTACAATATAACTATATGCTATAATGTACTATCGTATAATATGGCCTGATGCAATGCAGTATGATATGATATTCCATGACATGATGTGATATGAGAAGATATGATATAGGATAATATAAATCAACACAGTATAGTACAGTATGGTACAGTAGAGTATAGTACAGAATCATATATAATTCAAGCTGTTACAACAGAAGACAACAAACCTGTTATAATGGAACAAAAGATATTATACTTTAACAGATATATAAATTATTTTACAGCATACCCAAGGGTAGTATAGCATAGTAAATCACAGTAAAGTATAGTAGAGTCTCGCAAAGTGTAGTAAACTATAGCATAGTATAGTACATGATACAAGACAAGACAACATACTGGAAGATGCCATTCCTGTCAGGATCATCCACACCGACATCAAGCCCGATAATCTCCTGCTGTCCTTGGATAAGGAGTCGGTGAAGCTGTCAGACTTTGGATGTGGCTCGGCAGCGCAGGCGCATGAACCCTAAACGCTAAACCCTAAGCCCTAAACCCGAAGCCCTAAGCCATAAACCCTAAACCCTAAGCCATAAACCCTAAGCCCTAAGCCCTAAATCCTGAACCCATCATTCAGACTCCATCTCCAGTCGCTTCACCAAGCTTGGATGCCGATCCAGAGCTCAGAGCTGAGGTGCCATCGATACCCAGGAGTCCATGCAGGCGGCCCACATTCGCAGAGCCTACGCAAGCAGCCAGGGACCCAAGAGTCGGCTTACAGCGGGTATGATGCCTTCAGGATAGTACATGATTATTGTGGTCCGTTATATTATGTATCATTATCTAAGATTATATCACGTTATGTTACATGAAGCTCCTGCTGGACCGAGGTTACCGACCACCCGAGATCATTCTAGGCCAGTCGTAGCTGGTCTGCACTGCCCTGGAGGCTCCATTCTTTTAGTAGAATCTCATACAGAATAAGACAGTATAGCACAATAAAACAAAGTATACTACGACACAGCATAGTATAGTATCGTATAGTATCGTATAGTATAGTATAGTATAGTATAGTATAGTATGGTATAATAAAGTATAGTACGGTATATGATAGTATAAGTCAGCACATGGTAACGGCTTGAAAAATCGCTTTCAGAAAACACTGCAGCAGAGGTTCAGTACTCGGGCGGACATGTGGAGTGCTGGAGCGACGCTTTTTGAGCTTGCTTCGGGACATGTTCTCTTCCCCGTCACGGCCTCAAGAGAACAGCTACCTATAGTCTCCATTGTAGTTCCTTTTTGGGGTTACCTTTTAGGATCCTTAATATAGAATTGGTTAAACCAAAAAAGGAACTACAATGGAGACTATAGCTAGAACATGACACCATTCAGTGGGAGCTGCTGGCTGGTAGAATTCCGCGTCTTTACATGGCATGCTCGATCTGGTACAAGGAAGGTGCAAACAACGCGATGCTACTCGTGACTTAGATGGAGTTCAGCCGAAGTGCTGCAGCTGCAGGTTGACCGGGCTAGCTCCGTGAACAAAGGATATTCTCCGAACCTGCGGCGCTTTCAAGAAGCAGTTCGCAGTAACCGGAAAGCATGCGCTCAAGCACTTCACCCCTCAGGTGGGTCCTGCAACTCATGTCCTATGGTTGTGTACCCGGGTTCGCGAGGACTTGCCTGAGACGTTGTATGCGGAAGACTAGATTCGAACGACCCCTTGTTGATGAGCATGTTTCGATGGAGCCAAAGCGCCGCTTCTCTGCCGTGCAAACGACTTCGTAGAGTTCCTGAGTATAAGTATACTACAAAGGATCCCAAAAACCTAAACCCTAATCATTAAGGCCCCTACAGATCCCTAAACCCTAAACCCTAAACCCAACCCTAAACCCTAAACCCTATAAGGCCCCTACAGATCACAATACCAAGCCATCGCTTGCAGGGTGCATTCCGCCGCCGGACAAAGTCGGGCTCAGAGTGTCCTGGCTGCAGACTATACCGGAACAGTTTTTTGGGGGTTAAGGTTTAGGGTTTAGGGGCTTAGGGGCTTAGGGATTTAGGGGTTTAGGGTTTAGTTTCCCGCTTGCCGTTGCCAAGTGCAATCATAATCGTAGCGGAGTGGGTTTGTTCGTCTAGAACTGGCCCGTTTTCCAGGCAGCAGCTGTCGATGTCTCAGTTCACCACACCAAGCAAGCCTGTTCCAACACGCTTGCGGAACGTGCTGCAGGACTGACGGTGCATGTGTGTTGTTCAGGCGGATCTACAGCCGGTGACTGTACTGACTGACTTTGCAACATCACAATGAAGGACGTCCTGCTGGAGCCTTTCGCAGAACTTCTTGCGCAGGCATGCTTGGTGCCTGATCCCGCCAAGCGATCATCGGCAGAATCAGCTCTGAGACATCCGTTCCTGAAGATGAGGCGCCAGTCGTAGGCTGTTCAGGTGCGTCTTGCCTGTCTGGCATGTCTAAATAAGATTCGCATCCGATTCCTGCGAGCTGTTCTGCTAGCCTTGGTCGGCATGGTGTCGCCTCGTAGATCTTGAAGCGGCTGCATTCCTGTTGTGCAGTGAGATATTTGACATATGGCTTGCGCAACCAGCCTCATCAGACATCAATGCCCTGCGTGTCTTCATCCTTCTGCAGGCGATCCGGATAGTGTTTCGCCCATGTCGCATCTTGGGCAAGATGTGGACCCTAAACCGTTGGAGCTCACGTTACGACTCTTTACGAAGCCCCTTTGCCAAGGCAGTCGGCGAAACGGAGTGAGCTCTTTCGGTTCGGAGACACGCCTTCAGGCGGCTTTTCGTGCCTACACGTCAAAGACATTCAACAATCCTCAACATAGCCATGAGCGGCGGCAACTGCAAGAATCTTAAGACTTAAGAGGCTGATCCGAAAGTTGCTGAATTCCGTTCGGCACCGGGTTAATGATTCCTCTGTGCTGCGTGTACAGAGCAGATCGTCTCAAACGGTCCACCAAAAAGCTCTATGGGAATTTCGATCTCTCTGCATCTCTCCTTTTGGAATGCACAGTGCTTTCGCTTGCACAACGAGAAAGCCTGCCACAATGTTGTTGCTTGGCCCGGCAGCGGTTGCTATCCCGAAACTGCCCGAGGCGAGCGTTGTCGGCTTCTCCAGCGTTCGAAGCTGTCGTCACGGCCAGTGAAGCCACGGGGTCGAGGTGGTGGGGGTTTAGGGTTTAGGGTTTAGGGTTTTGAAGGTCGCGGAGCTTTCGCTCATGGGTTCTTTCCGACCTGTCGCAGGTGGTGTGGCCGTGCAACAGCTGGCGGAGCTTGCTGAGGGTTGCTGGGGTTCGGCCACACGAAACAGCAGAACGCCCAGACTCTCCACCACAGGACTGTACCATCTTGTATCATGTATATTCTCTTATCTTAAGTCTTAAGATATATGATACTACGCTACATTGACCATACTATAGTATATTATACTATGTTGTGTTATACTCTACGTCTAGGTTATGTCCTCTGCTCTCTCGAAGGCTCGGCGGAAGATGAGGGCAGCCTTGCAAAGCAGGAAGCCGCGGCCTGGCTCGGCTGGCAGTGCACCATTCTTCTTGTTTAGGGCACTGTATTCGGGTCCCCTAAATTTGGAAACCCCCAAATTTAAGTAAGATAATGATAAATTTGAGAGTTTCCGAAAATAAGGAGTACCTTATTGTAGGGGCCTTTTGCTAAGGATCCTACTATATAGGGCACTATATTAGGGTCGGAACCCCCCTCAAGTTTATCATTATCTTACTAGTATCGTAATAATGACGCTAACAATAACAATGGCCCTGACAATGCAACTCATGAGTATAATGCGTGCACTAATCATGGCAATAGAAGTAATTTGTTGTGACTGTTGCTACTGTTATTATTGTTATTCTTATTTTTTGTTATTATTGTTGTTACGACTATTATGGTTATTGTTGTTGTTACTACTGTCATTATTGTTGTTGTTGTTATTATTGTTCTTATCGTTATTAGTGCTATTTTTGCAATGAGTATTATTAGTATTATTATTGCTATTATTATTATTAGTATTATTATTATTGTCAGTATTCGTAGGTACTTTTCAAAGCCGCCTCGCATCGCTGTCCGAGGTCCTCCAGGTTGCCGAGTCCTGGCCGTCAGTCGGTGAGGAGATCCGCTGCCGAATAGTACTATACAGCATTACAATACGGTTGATGATATAAATCCTGCATGACCCATTATTAGGAAATCTCTCATAATTCCCATAGTTTAGGGTCCTTAGGGTAATGCAGGATTTATATCATCAGCAGTATGTCTTAATACAATATGGTTCCATGCTCACCTCGGAGTTCTCCCAAGAGTCTCAGAACTGAGGCTCTTCCGCGGTGGGCATGCTATGCGAAGGTATTACATTATTGTATTCATACAACATCCTACATTTTATGACTAAGTTCTATCGTAGAACACAGTACATCCATACAGTATTCTACATTTTATGATTGCAGAGTACAACATAATATGACATAACACAAGATCGTTCATGCCCAGACTTCGGTTCGAGAAGCTGCTTTTCATGATGACGCACCGAGAGTGTGACGGCCTCTCGATCGCCCGCCAGAGGACTTCACAGTTTAAGTAGGCAAGTTCATGACGCCCGACACAGATGACCCCATAGTCCGGCTAGTGGCCCGCTCGCTTGTTGCTCTCGTTTTGTAAAGCCCTAAACCCTTCAATCCTAAACCCTAAACGCAGGCCCTAAACTGCTGATGTGATGGGTCAAGCCTGTCGGTCCGGCAGGAAAAGGATGAAGTCCCAAGCTTCCAACATCGTCCAGGCGTGGTCTTGGGTTTAGGGGGTTCGGGTTTAGGGGGTTTAGGGTTTAGGGGGTTTAGGGGGTTTAGGGGGTTTAGGGTTTGAGAGTGGGCTGTCATGGGGCCTGGGTTTTTGAATATAGTAATTTATGGTGTTTGTACAACAATGCTACACAACTATGCTGAAGATCACATACAACCAAGGATACACCTTGCAAGTATTGACGTTTTTGTATATGCATATATATATATATGTGTGTGTGTGTATATGTATATGTATTTCCAAGTTGCTGCCATTGCGTTCCAATGTACCTTGGCTGTGGGCTGGCTTGAAGCAAGCAAAACAATCTAAGCAAGCGATGCTTGCCGGGTTTACTAATTACTAGTTGTCTCACACATACCAGCAGACACGCATACCATACTTTTCATACTCGCACTGCACATCTACCGGCCTAGTGCTTGGAGCTGGGCCTTTTCAAGACCTTGCTTGCCGGCTTCTTGCTACAGGAGTACGGTGTGCTGGACTTCTTTCCCCTCTTCACAAAAGAGGCCAAGTAGTCTGTGCTCCTGGACTCCACAGCTTCATTATGAAGTCTGCAAAAATACAATACCTTAAAGGCATGTCTGGACGGAGTGCAACCATTTAGGACACGAGCGTAACCTCTGAACCAACTGAAGACCTGTTCGGCTGCACTGCTGTTGGTGCGTTTGAACCTTAGGCTCAAACGCTTCTGATACAGCGGGTTACATTTGCATGTCTTCGTGTGGCCTTGAGCATGAAACGCGTCTACTGCCCAGTATTTCACTTGGTTCATAACCTTGAAATGGCGAGCATGGGGAAGGAATGAACAGGCTCGGTCGACGATGACCCCGTCGAGGTTGGGAAACTTGGGAATGACGTCCATGAGCGCGGCTTCCAGAATTGCATTCCCCTCCGGCTGGGACATGTGTTTCGCCCACAGGATGCGCTGATCGGCAGGGTTGACCACCATGAACCACCCATGCCCAAACGGCTTTGTGACATCCTTGCCACGTTTGCCAGGATTGCCGGCGTGCCGGTGGCTGTTGGCACATTTCATATGTACTTTCGCGTGGCCGTCTGCCACCACCTCTGTGACGGCCTTCCTGCTGTGAGGAGGCAGTACATGATGGAGCACGTGCTGTTCGTAGATCTTGAGAGTCAAGGGTGACAACTCCTTCCCTATGACGATGTCCAAGTGTCTACCGATTGGGTACAACTCAGTCAAGGCCGTGTAGTAGACGATGGCTGTAGCATACGTCTTTCTCCATTGGCCGGATAGCTTGTTGGTTTTAAGGCCAAAAGTGTGACGATACACGTCCTGTACCGCCCGGGATGATACGCATGCCCGAAACTCCATTCTGGCATGGTACTCCAAGAAAACCGAACTGAAGGCAACTTTGTTGGAGACAAACAAAGCGCGGGCCTTCTTCACCTCTGCAGGCTGGGCCGTGTTCACCTTGTCGGAGTCGTGGATTGCGAAGTTTGGACCAAAAGTTAGTCGACAGCCATAAGAGGTGCATCTCCATGTTCGGACTTTGATCTTGACCTGGCCCAGCATGTCATAGAGGGTGGCTTCGATCTCGTGGGACGGCGACAGGTTCCCTCCGCATGAGCATTTCTTCAAATGCGTTTCGAAGACCTGAAGTTCATTCATCATGGCCGCTGGACGCTTCATGGGCATGGTGCTTGTGACTGTAGACCCACCCCTCTACAGAAACACGATGCCTGGAGCCAAGCCGAACGTGACGATCACAACTACAAACTGATCTGCAAGACATTTTCGACAGTACAAAGTGCAAGGACGAAGAAGACACATGCGACATGTAGTCGGTCATTGTTTTCTTCTGAGTCAACCACAGTCGTGAGAATTCAAAACTCTCCGAATCAGTCCTCGTAATCTGGCGACAATGGCTCAGCATCGGAATCGTTCAAGTCAATCCTGGGTTGCTTGGCCGGCGGGGCTGTGATGGGAGGGCTGGCGGACACGGCTTCTTCATGGTGGCGATCGGCATGACTTGAGGCTGCTGCGGCGGAGGCACGACGCGGAGTCGCGGGATTCGAAGCCGTCGGAAATCCTTCATTCCAGCGATCGTAAGTGGCACCCCTGCGTAGGTATTCCTTCTCCTCCGGCGAGGCGAGCAATTCGGAGACTAAGTTCGTTTCTTCTTCCACATACTGATCAAAGTCCACGTACTTGGTGTGTTGTCCGTTCTTGTAGTGATTGTAATGCGCCTTGTTGGTCTCCTGCAACCAATCTTCCGTAATCCCACCACTGTTGATGCAATGGATCTTCTGGCTTTGGTGTTCTGAAGCCAACCGTACATAGATCGCATTATCACCGGCAATGATCACAGAAGCCCGCTTCAAAGTCGCCATGACATGAGGCATGGGGGCATCATTTAAAGCCGGCTGGAACATTGCCAAGAACTGCTTCCAAGTGATAGTGGACAGGCCAACGTACTCCGGCTCCTTGTCGGGGCACCATTCATTGTTGAGGAGAACCCGGCACTGATTCCGCACAAACTTGGCTGCACGATATCGAGCATCTACCAAACCATTTTCGCCCACATCAAGAAATGATTTGATATCTTCGACATTGATGGAGGGTAGGAGCGGGTCGTCCAAGATGACAGGGATGTGGACTTCACCAGGTCGCTCTCTAAACCCATCTATCTGCTTAGAGCGACGCCATCCTGGAAAGAAGCCATCCATGTTGCGGGACTGTATCAAGAATCTAGCCACAGCCATGACCATGACGATCGCCGCAGGAGTCTTGCCTATGCCCGGCTTGCCGAGAATGATCAAACCAAAGCTCAACATGGTAGGTAGAATCATCGGCACCACCGTCCGCTGGAACTCGCTGTTCAGGTCACGGAGGAGCAGGGGGAAGAAGTATTCCGGTTCAGATTGACTGTTACCGGTAGCCCTGTTGGCACACGCTTTGCCCACAATATGATGTGGCCAACCATAGATCGGACTGTCCTTGTCGCGAATGTTTAACAAGGACCATAGGAACTGCTCGTTCTTGGCATTGGCTAGTGGCGCGTAGTTGTTGATATGCTCAATGCCGGCCTTGAGCTCTTCTGGACTGGGGTCCCACTTCATGTCACCATCGCTTTTTGCCTTCACCTTGGTGATGCTTTTCTGTCCAAGACTTTGTGTCATCCACATCTCACCTGGTATGCGGAACAAGAGGTGAAGGAAGGCCTTCTTCAGCAAGTCGGAGTTATCGCAGCTGGCATAGTTCAGGACTTTCACCTCCTGGGCACAAAAGGCTTTGGCAAGGCCAATCGGAACTGGGACCTTCGAATGAAAGAATTTCAGCACGGTGTAGGTGTCGTTGTCCTGATTAGGCCATATCACGAGCTGGAGTTTGCATTGGTCCCCTAGCGCATCTCGTGGACGAACAGAATCAGGTAGATGACCTATTCGGTTTGGGTCCGAGTTCATGACGTCCACGATCGTTTGGTAGTCCGAGCAGGAGACATTCTTCACTAAGTGAAAGAACTCCTTGAACTTCTTGCCTTTGATGAGAGGAGAGTCTACAGGCGGGAGGTCCTGGACACTGTGCTCTCCGTCGGTGATCTTGATGTGCTTGTGAGCGTCACAGTACTGGATGTACGTGTACTTGGCTGCCGCCATAGCCTGGTCCATTGTGTGGCGGGGCGAAAGTGTTACTTAACACTGGCGACGTGCAGCTACACGATGCTCGAAAAGCTTTCGTTTGAGAGCGGCGAACAGAGATGTTATTTTCAAGACAACGCCATGTTTATAAACGAGGCGGGTGTTTATAAACAGCCCTTGCGTGCAAACAGTGGTTGCGCAACATGTACAAGCACAGCGCAAGCTCGAACATCACACTGTTTTCTACTGGGAAGACGCTAAGTCTCGACACTGCCGTGCATCTGCTGTCTAGGACTAGGAGCTGTCAGAATCTGGCTCTTCAAAGCGTCGCTTTGCGACGTAGATGCTCTTAAGAAGCCTCTTCAACGTCTGCGACCGCTTCTTTGAACCGGAACATCGCCCATCTAAGGCAGTCGTCTGCTGCCAGATATCGTGCCATTGGGAATCCCATCCCATAGTGTCCACTACAGGAAGGGCACTGCTGCTGGACGAGGAGCTTGAGGAACTGGACATGCACTCATCGGCATTGGTATCCACAGCGGCTTCGGGAGGATTCTCAACGTCTTCGGTTGCAGGCTGGTCAAAATCCTTGTTCGCCAAGGTCTCGGAGGAAGAGGGTTGCTCAACATCTTGTATCGCTAGCTTCTTGGATGAAGAGGGCTGCTCAGCATCTTGGATCGCCAAAGGCTTCTTGGCACCCTTCTTCGGAGCTGCAAACCAACGAAGTAGGAGTTGTTGCGCTTCATCGGTCCAACCGCCTGAGACACCAGTAGGCAAGGAAAGCTTTGCCTGCAGGTAGCACATGTGGCTCTGGAGCTGCCGGAGATTGAGGCTCATCTTCGTCTCGTGCGCGAGGATGGTCCCGGTCGCGACCTGGTCCAAGAGACTCTGTGGGCTCGGAGGGCTTACAGTCGTCGTTGTCTGCCTCGTCCTAGAACTGGTGCTTGTCGTCTTCGCCAAGCTTACGTTAGCAAGCTGGAGGCGGCACGTGCCATCTCCTATCTCTAGAAAGCCTGCTACGGCAGCAGTTCGCTTCATAGCTGCAGTCTCGAACGCTTGAGCAGAACGACTGCCCAGCACATGTGATCACATCTTGTGCGGAGGCACGGCTTCAGATCTTGAGCAGTAGGCGTAAGAAAAAAAACTTGCTACTTGCGGTCGAGATGCTATAGTATAGAACAATAACTACAACATACACACTCTACGACACTACACAAACCACTATCGCAAAAGGCAGAAGCAGCAACCGACGTCGATGGCGTCGGATCGCGTACCTGCGGTCAAAGGAGGGGGGGGGGAGGGTGCAGTACCAAATGTTACACATTCCGGGCATTCTTGATTGCACGTATCACTTGCATGTTTCCGTGTCTGTGTGCTCAAGGTTCTAGCATAGCAGAGTATCTGGACTTCAGCCGGATAGCTGTAAAAGAGAC